ATAAGCTGAAAAGGTTGATGTAGTTATATTTTTATGGTTCTTGAAATGTTACTATGTAATTTTTACTTGATTTAGCAAATGCTGCTGTGTGAGAGGAGAAAATTATTTTCAACTTGCTGAGGTAGCAAGTTTCTTTTTATGCCCCCTTTATGCTTGAGGCAGTCAAGTCTACAGGCAGTTGAAACTAGATTTATAGGTTATTCACCAAAAAAAATCACTGCAAACAGCACCTTGAAACCTTAAAACTTGCACAGTTTAACGGAATATCCAGGCATTTTTAGCAGTTTATAGTATCAGTAGAAGCCACCAGGCAATATGTAACATATTTTAAGACAGAAGGTCAACAAGGCTTATTACTATTGAACTATAATTTCACAAACAATGTAAACCAAAGAGATAGTTAAAATCGCTCATTAAAGAAATGGGAAATGTTTCAAAATAGGACGTCTCTGATAAGCTCCCCTGAAAACCAAACATAAAGCAACTGGTTTCTTCTAGTGTTCTTCAACATGATCTATTATTGTTTCGGCTAAAAAAAAAAAAAGTGTTTTAATTGTCCTGATCCTTTCCGAAACAGTGTATCAAGAGTATGTTTATATCAAAGTGGTAATGATAAAATATTTTACAATTCTAGGCAATAAAATATTTTGCACTTAATATACAACTTGTAAAGAACTACCAATATTCTTTGCAAATGTACTTCTGCCTAAAACTTATGTTGGAATATGATGGGAGCAAAATTTTTTTTTTTTAAAGATTTTATTTATTTATTTGAGAGAGAGAGAATGAGAGATAGAGAGCACGAGAGGGAAGAGGGTCAGAGGGAGAAGCAGACTCCCCGCCGAGCAGGGAGCCCGATGTGGGACTCAATCCCGGGACTCCAGGATCATGACCTGAGCCGAAGGCAGTCACCCAACCAACTGAGCCACCCAGGCGCCCGGGAGCAAAATATTTATACCCTTTGTATAAACTCTTCTCATAATGACTGTTACCAAGTGTAGCACGTAAAAGTAAAGTTATGTTGATGGTGCTGTAAAGGTTGCTTCCCATCTGAAAACATCATTCACCAGCAATCTCCTGGGGAAGAGATGTGTCTCCCAGAAAACAGAAGCCATACAAGAAAGGTGTAGGGTGGGCTACAGAACCAGAAATCCGACTTTCTTGGTCTTGATCATTAATGTGCTTGGGAGGAAGCTTCTACATGATGGCATGTGAAAAGAAGCTCTCCATCTGTGGATAGGTCAAAAGTTAGAAATTAGAAATTCCAGCAAATTCTCCTGAAGTACCACTTTGAAATAGCTATCTCAAGGCAACATGTGGAAGAGGGCAGGCCCCTCAAGACAAAAGAGCATTCACTTTATACTCCATACTGCCATTGTGCTTCCTATTTATCTCACAGTTGTTCTTCTCTAGTGCTAAATTTTAACAAAGACTTTTATAAGCTGTAGTCTTTCTTAGTTGTTCAAAGGTGAAAGAAAGGGAAGGGAGTTTGGTGGTATACACTTGGGCCAGAGGATGGTCAGTATGGTGGTAGCACCAGTAATCAAATAGAACACAAAAGAGAAGGTGAAGTTCAAGGGGAATCAGGTTAAGAAGACTTGTGTGTTCATCCTTCTATTTCCCCTCTAACCAAAACACAAAAACAAAAACCCCAGAGCACAACCTGGTTAAGCCTTGCATGTTAGAAATCTGGAGTTTCTAAGAAACTATGTTCCTTCAGAATAAAATGGAAACACTCTTTCTAATGCTACCTTATGGTATCTTCAACTCAAAATTGCTAGGTAAGGCAAAGACATACAATATAGTGCCTTACCTTTCAGATACTCTTATTAGACTTTGCAAAATACAGAATTAACCATTTTCAGATAACTCTAATCAGCACTTAGGTGAGCCACTGCAAGATAAAGCTTTCTTTGTATCCAAAATCACCACTCCTCAGCACTAGCACCTTATCCTTCCCAAAGAAGAAAGTAAATTTACACATCACAAAATGCTTTAATCCAATTTTCTATTTTAAAATGTGTTATTCTTGATCAACAATTTAAATTAGAAGTGGTCACCATGGCTTGATGGAAATGAGTTTTGAATCTTTATTCCACACATTTGGGCAGTATTCTTGGATCTGACACTTATAACTGATTCTCTCTGTGCTTCAGTATCCTCATCTGCACATAAGGGTGTTAAGCTGTGCCATCACTAATTCTATGGAAAATACCTTTTCCAAAAACACAATCTCAACTAATTATGTTCTAACATGTTTCTATTTTTTAAAGTTTCAAAAGGTTGATATTTCTACAAAAATTCTGAAAATTCAAAAGGTTAGTAGAAATATGCAATTCCCCCTTAAGGGGAATCTCCAAAGAGAAAAAACAAAAAGGCATTAAGTAAATCTGTTATTGAGACAAACTGAGCCAAATCTCCTCTCATAGTGAAGTTTATTCCACACATATAACTAAACACTACAAGAAATCAATGTAGTATTTAGTGCATTATTTAAACATAACCACCACAGTGTGGTGGTACTCCATGGTCCTAAATTCTTCCAGTGCTCTTCTCTGCCTAAACTTTTGAGATTCTGCATTTTAACACAGTAAGTCTCTACTTAAATATAAGATCTATACAGGCTACCTGAACACCTACGAGATCCTTCCTCTTTTCTTTGGCACAAATCTAATCTGTTCAAGACCCATTAGGAATTACATGTAGGGGCGCCTGGGTGGCTCAGTTGGTTAAGCAACTGCCTTCGGCTCAGGTCATGATCCTGGAGTCCTGGGATCCAGTCCCGCATCGGGCTCCCTGCTTGGCGAGGGGCCTGCTTCTCCCTCTAACCCTCCCCGCTCTCATGTACTCTCTCTCTCTCTCATTCTCACTCTCTCAAAATAAATAAATAAATCTTAAAAAAAAAAAAAAGGAATTACATGTAAACTCCTAGAAAAAGTCTTATTAGACCCACAGATAACTATTGCCTTTATGAGTCACTGCCATACAAAAGCAACAAAGTCTGGTGGAAGAAGAAACATGTCAAACAGATCATTTGCAACATAAAGTGACAAATGTTACCATATAACATTGCTAGGGACTTATAACAAAGTAACAAAAAAGGGAGGCACTAGCTAAGCTTGGGTAGAGACCCTGGCTATAGAATTCCGATTGGCAGGGGCATTCCAAGGTCAATTGTCTCAGACTTTACTAAGAACCTACAATGTAGTGGCTCCCTGGCACTACAAATACACAGAAAAATAAGCTGCAGTTCCCCACCCTTAAGGAGCTTGTAGTCCAAAAAAGAACAAAATGTGTTTGGAACCAAAATAAATGAGACTAGCCTTTGTAGGTGGGGTCATGTTGGAAAGAAGTAAAAGACCAAGTTTGTAAATGAAATCGATTTGTGTAACTAGGTTGAAGAACTAAGACTCAATCTAATGAAGAATGGAGAGAAACTCAAATAAAAGAGTGATCCAAGATTATCCAAAACAATCTTGTGAAGTAAAGAAACTGAAGGTAGAGATTCCAGAACAAAAATAAAAACTGAGTTCAGTGAGCTTTTAACTCCGTAGCCTGTTACCCTAATGGTGTTCTATGCAAAAACTACGGGGACAGCAACGCATAATAGTTAAAAGCACCAGATTTGGAACCAGCTCCCCTGTGCTCACCTTTCAATGCCACCACTTCCTAGCTAGGTCAGGAAAGTTACTTAACAGTTCTGTGCCTGTCTCCTCACCTGTGAAGTAAAGTGCCTGCACAGCCAAGAAGCCCCTTCTTCAAAACATAGGTGTTGTTATATCACTCCAATCGAAAACTTTATTCACAAAATCAAATCCATATCTTTTAGGCACTTGTAGCCTCCATAACCTGGCCCAACCTTTCTGGTCTTAATCCTCATTGGACACCCTCCTACTTCCACGAACCACAAGGATCTAGTGTCACTTCTGCAAACCAATAAGCACTTTCCTACTTATGTGTCGCCTCTCCAGTGGCTGTCTAAAAGCCTTTTCCTCACCGGTGTTTCAAAACCTACTTCTCTAGGAAATGAACTCTCCTTCCCCTCCAATTCCACAGCACATTTACCTGCCCCTCTGCACAGTTTGCCATTGTTTCCCGTTTTTGTGTTTGTTCCTGTAATGCCTCCCTCTCTCCTTTTCACCAAAATAGTGAACTTCCAGAGAGCTGGGGCAAATCTTTTTTATCCTCCTTCCCACCCCTCTTCTCAGACTGTGCCTATGCAGGCCTGCAAAAGCGTTACTGAGTTAAACTGGATGTTAACAACCGTAATGGCCTCAGTTCCAGAAACTGCTTAATTTCGCATAATTTTTTTTTACTGCTTTCAGGTTCTAAAATCTTAACACGAAACGTCTTTAAAAATCAGAACACCGCCATCGCTTCAAGAAAAGTTCCACGGAGCACCCACACGAGTTGACAATAAGGTCATTCTTAGCTTCAGAAGTTGTGTGTGTGCCACGGAGGGCAGCTTCACACCGGTCGGTACACACTACTCCGAAATTGGGAGAAAGAGGCGGCGGCCGGGCAGCACACGGGCTTGGCTCTGGTCGGCCCTCAACTTCCTGCGGGCCCGCGGGCTCCGGCCGCGCTCGCCCCTCTCCGCCACACTCGTTCTCCAGCCCTCGCCTCCCCTCGTCCCGCCGCAGCAACGCTCCCCGGAGCGGCGCGGGCAGCGTGGCAGGTCCTCCCGGGCGGATCCGCTCGGGCCTGGGCCGCCAGCCACCCTGCCTGCTCTGCCCGCGGCCCCCGGCCTCTCCCCGGCCCGCCGCCCGCCGCCCGGGGCCCAGGCCGCGCTGCCGCCGTCGCCCGAAGGGGAGCTGGGGGACTCGCCCGGCTCCGCGTGGCGCCGGGGGCGGAGCCGGCCCGGAGGGCCCGGGGAGAGGCCGGGGGCGGGCGGCGGCCTCCGCCTACCCCGACACGCACCCCACCGCCCCCAACCCCAACCCTCCTCCGGGCCCCGGCCCGCGCCCGCTGCCGGGCGGCCGGCGGGACTCGCCACTTACCAACCCGCCTGGGACAACGCCGCGCCGGGGACCTCAGACATGGTAGCTGCTTAAGCCGGGGGGGGTGGGGGGCTAGGGGGGGGGGGGGGGGGGAGGCCTCCTACTTGAGACCAAAAAAAAAAAAAGAAAGAAAGAAAAAAAAAAACCGAAAGAAAAGAAAAGAAAAAAAAAAAACTCCTCTGGTCGGCTCTGCAACTGGGCATGCTCAGTGCGGCCGGCGCTTCCGCGTGCGGGTTCCGCTCGCCGCGTTTTCCTAGCGGCCGCAGGGGCAGGCCTGGCGTGGGGCTTGGAGGTTGCAGTCTGGCGGAGGCCGTGATGCCCCACAGACCCGCGGGGGTCTGGAAATCGCAGGCCAATTTGTGAGCAAGGACCGCGAGACTTTGCTCTCCATCGAAGGCTGGTTATTTTTGTTTTGGGTCACTTTTCTGAGTTGCACACCTTGGAAACTAATGCGGACTTTTTTTTTTTTGGTACAGCATTAAGTAACGCCCGCGTTTCCAGCGCCGAGAGGCGGTCACTTCACCAGAGGCCAGGATATACTAGAGCTGAGACGGATGGGTCGGTTGAGAGGCAGTGCTTCCAGTTTGGGGACAGTGAAACTCAGAGGTGTTGTCAGCCACTCTGCATAGGAGAAAAGTTTACTTTTTTTTTTTTTAAATAAAGACTCAATCCATTCACTCTGCTTTTCCGATATGCTCCGACGCAAAGAAAAGAATAAAGCTGCATTTTTTTCGAGTCTCCACGGGCAATCAGTTTGTAGAGGTTGGAGCACAACGAAAATGATCAACCCAAGAAAACCTGAACTTAAGGGACATGGGTAAACTGGGCAGTTGTGTCAGTGCTTGTTTTCTCGGTCGCTCTGCCACTAGACCCGTCCAAAGTCCCAGCGCGATCCTGTGACGGTAGCACTGGCATAACCGGGCCTGCATGGCTCCACAGTCGCCTCGTCCGTGTCCTTCTCTAGCTCCCAGGAGGGCTGAAGCGCAGGGGCTGCTCCCCCGAGTGAGCCTGCGCGGCGGCGTCGCCGAACGGCGCGTTGGACGCTCCAGCACGATTGGACGGCTGAGACTGACGACAGCCAATCGGGGAGGAGCAGGTGGAAGGGGCCGCTGGCCGGGGAGACGCTCCCTAAAAGTTTGCTCCGCCCTTCATGGTTTTCTCCCTCTGCGGCCGCTTGGCAAAAAGACGCTTCTGTGTAGCTCCGGCCCCAACTGTCAAGTCACCGGGAGAAACCGAGAACTTAAGCCCCATCACCCGCCGCTGCCTCATCTGAAACCATCATCACAAACACAGACTTGGAGCAGAGACTGCGGAACTGGGCAGAGCCGCTCCGGGGATTGGGGAGGAAATTGACAGTTACAGAAGGAAGGAAATAATTGCCATGGGTGGAGCTCAATACAAATTGGAACTCAATACAAACTTTTCCTCCTTTTAACTGGGAAACTCCGTTTGGGCTTTCCAAGGCATAGTTTTAAAATCGCGATGCTTCTAATGCTATCGAAATACGTTTTCAAGCACGTTACTTATTTTAATGAAAAGTATTTCCAAGTACTTAGAATCAGAAATAATTCCATCCTATTCCCTGCAATTTACAGTAGTATACTTACTGTGTTTAGACCATACACATGCTACAAGTATATTTCAATTTAATGGCACCAGTTATCCTACCCAGGAGTCAGGAAAAGATTTGCCATTCTGAAGGTAAATAGATGATTCAAATTGCTAATAATTTTTATTGGTGTTAATAGGATCTACTCTTACCAATTATTTACATTTTGCAATTAATGTAAGTTGTTAACTATGAAAATGATATGCTGTCCTAGTGTCAGAATTCTTCACTGGCGAAATGTGAATCCCTTACACGTTTGTTCTCATGGTGCAGTGTAGTAAGAATTTACCATCGCATAGCACTTACGATAACTTTAATAAAATGCTCCATGAAACACTATATCCCCTTACTTTAAGAAGTGTTTTTAAAGAATAGGTTGAGGATTCCCACTGGAAAAATTTGGGACAATATTACCATCAAAAACAATGACAATTTATTGAATTTAAAAAAATAGGTAAAATGCATTTCAGAGTGGCACTAAAAACAAGTGGTACCTTGGCTGGCTCAGTTGGTAAAGCATGTGACTCTTGATCTTGGGGTTGTAAACTCAAGCCCCCCATTGAGTGTAGAGACTACTTAAAAATAAAATCTTAGAAATAAATAAAAGGAGAAAGGATGATAGCTTTTCTTTCAGAGGCATACCAGAGAATAAATGTAGAACAACTGATATAATTAGAAAATCACCATTTTCCGAATCATTCACAATTGATTCAGGCACAGTTCATCAAAGGATGCTAAAAGCCACTGGTGAAAGATGATAGGTGTACAGGATCTTCACGCAGTCTCAAGGTATCAAGCCATAACTTAATTATTACAAAAGAAAAAAATGTACCTTTACCTTAAAAAAGAAAATCACTGCCTTAAACAAATGACTAAAGCTAGAATCACTAATAGGACAATCTGATATGTGCTTACTGATGTAGTGCAATTAGAAATACACAACATCATTGCCAAAATTGTTTAACCTGAATTTAATCAAGCTTCTAGACAGTTCCCAACCAGGAGCTGGATCCCCATCCAACACCCTACCCCTTACCCAAGTGGACACATTTGACAATGCCTGGAGACATTTTCAGTTGTCATAACCTGGGCGGGGGGGCGGGGAGGGTGTTACTGCATCTAACAGATACTGCTAAACATTATACAATGGAGAGGACAGATTCCCCACAACAAATAATTATCTGGCCCAAAATGTCAATAGTGCCAAGGTTCAGCAGCCCTGGTCTAGATATAAGCAAAAATGTAAAGAATATATAGAGGATACTGGAACAATCAAACAAGAAGAAACAGGCAGATAAATCCAGAAATGGCATATTCTATAAGAAACCTGGCCTGGACTGTTCATTGAGCCAATATAATTAAAAAAAAAAAATCTCCAAATTAAAGGGACTCAAGAGATGTAACAATAAAGTAGAAATTTGGATCTTAAAAAAAGAGAAAGATATTTTGTGGTATTATACTTAATCTTGGAAATTTTATGCCAAAGCTTTTATGGCTTTTATGGCTGAGGAGTTGTGGTGTCTACAACTTATTTCCCAGTGATTCAGAAAAAATATATATGTAGATATATAATATATATATGTAAAACAAATATACACACATGTATGTGTATGTGTATTAAAGAGAGAGAGAAGGTAAATGTGGCAAAATGTTTAAAATGGGTGAATCTAATTGGAGGTGCTCATCATATTGTAACTTTTCTCTAACTTTGAAATTTTTCAAAGCAAAAAGTTAAAAGTATAGATTATACTAATTTCTTTCACATCCAAAATTTTTAATTGGAATTAAGGTCTGTATAGATAGTGCAATGGAAAATGCACTAAACCAAAAAATAATAATAATTTTCATTTTTAATAAGATAAATCATCACTTTACAGAAAATGGGAGGTCTACAATTAGCTTAAAGTTGGGGGAAATCCTAAGGATGATAGAAGAGCTTTGCAAGGCAGGGTGTCTGGGTGACTCATTTGGTTAAGTGTCTGTCTTTGGCCCAGGTCAGGAGCCCAGGGTCCTGGGATTGAGCCCAGCATCAGGCTCCCTCCTCCTCTCCCCTTCCTCCCACCCCTCCCCCTCCCTGTGCTTCTCTCTCTCTCTCACTCTCTCTCAAATAGATTTAAAAAAAAGAAAGAGAGCTTTGCTAGGCACAAGAGAATAAAAAGGAGAAGGTAAATTTATTTGGAGTCAATGGTGTAAGTTAACAGAAGAGTGAGACAGCATCCATTCACTTCTGTTTTGTCCTTATCATTTCAGTGAAGAAAGTGGTTCAGAGTGAAAAAGGATAGAATATGGAAAAATAGGAATAAGAACCACAATAAAAGGTGAGGTTATAAGAATACCTAGTCTCTCTAAAGCACATTAAATCTTTTCATCTTAAGTCATTAACATCCTGGAGAATACTAAAACAACCTGTGACTGACTTAGAGGAGCCAATGCCAGGGAGCCCTGAAGAACTGTTGAGCTCATCAGGAAACGTGGTAGAAGCCTGGAAACAAGCATAAATATTTCCAGTTCTAAGAACAGGAAAAGAGTCTTTAAAATAAATGGTCCTGGAACAAGTGGATATCCACATGCAAAAAAGTAAAGTTCCTTACATCATACACAAAAATTAACTCAAATTAAATCATATATTTAAATGTAAGAGCTAAAAATATTAAACTCTAGAAAAAGAAAAAGAATCAAATCTCTATGACCTTGGGTTAGGCAATAGATATGACATCCAAAGTTTGAGCTAAAAAAGAAAAATTAAATAAAGTGGACTTCATCAAAATTTAAAACTTTTGTGCTTCAGAGGACACCACCAAGATAATGAAAAGATAATCTACAGAAAGGGAGAAAATAAGGGTTTGAAGCAAGAATATGTAAAGAACTCTACTGACTCAATAGTGAAAAGACAACTCAAAAATGAGCAAGGCATTTAAACAGACATTTCTCCAAAGAAGGGATACAAATGGGTAATAAATGATTAAAAGATGCCCAACATCATTAGTCATTAGAGAAATGCAAATCAAAATCACAGTGAGATGCTTCACACCCACTAGAATGACTATAGTTAAAAAGATGGATGATAACAAGTATTAATGAGGATGTGAAGAATTTGAAATCTTCATACATTGTTGGTGGGAATGTAAAATTGTGCAACCATTTTGGAAAACAGTTTGGCAGTTTCTCAAAAAGTTAAATATAGAGTTTCCATATGATTCAGCAATTCTCCTAGGTATAGATATCCAAGAGAAATGGAAACTAATGTCCACACAAAAACTTGTATTTGATGTTCATAGCAGCATCGTTCATTATAGCCAATAAGTGGAAACAATCCAAATGTCCATCAACTGATGAATAGATAAACAAAAGGAGTGGGGTTTCACAAACTAAAGACAAGGGAATTTGCTGTTAACCCATTAATCATGATTCTAGAACATATAATTTAGGAGATAAATTTTTAGGAGGAAGAATAACTGAAATAGCTGACCTCTAAAGATTAACTTCTAGAATTCTATGATTCT